TCAATTGAACAAAAATGGACAAAGCATGAAACCCTAACTTAGCTCCAGTAAATCTGTCTCACGCGGCCCGTGGTCGCCTTAGCGCGGTCCGCGGTGCCCTGACGCGGTCCGCATTACCCTTTTGCGTGGACCGCGGTGCCCAACTTGACTGAAATATAACTTGCTTCCAGCGCGGTCGCGTTGCACATTGTGCGGTCCGCGCTGGCCCACCGCGGCCGTGACCCAATTTTGTGCGGACCGCGGTGGGAGATTCAGAGAAGTCTTTTTCTGGGGCATTGTTCAGTGCGGCACGCGGTCCGCGGTGCCTCTAACGCGGCCGCACTCCTGATTGTGCGGTCCACGGTGCCTGGTTCTGCAGCAGTGTCTACAACAATTTTTTTGTTGTCTGCAACTTTAATTCATTCACTTGTTTCACTACCTGTACTTAAACTAACAATGTTAGATGCGTTTGCTTGCAGACAATGGTAAAACAATGAGGAAGAGGTGCCAAACAACCCGACCGAAGTGACTTCTCCCGGGGAGGAAAAGGGAAACAAGTTAAACTCACTCCCCGACCTAAACTGAAAATAAGGAAACAAGTTATTATAGATGATGACCAATCGGGGAGTGAGTACGTACCCTCTCAAGACCTCTCTTCTAACTCAGGGCCAGATCCCTCAGTCCCAGCTTCACCTACTGCCCAAGCTCCACAATGTGTACCTTCTGAGTCGTCTGATGGCTCAGCAGCAGGCAGCGATGAATCCTCCACCTCCCCCACAGCTTCAGTATTCGGGGAAAGTGCAGAAGGAGGGACTAATAGTGATGATGAGGTACCGGACAGTGGTGTGCCCCAGGTTGGGGGTGTTGAACAAACTAAAAAACCTGAAGTTTGGGAAGATCGATTTGTCAACCAGGTGGCGTTCCACAAGTTTAGGGAATGGTGGTCGTCACGGAAGTTGATTCTTGAGAGGAGCTTTATTGACAAAGACCTTCTACCCCTACACCCCAATGTGCATAGACAGTTTCAGGCTCAAGTGGGTTGGGAGTTCTTTAAAAACAATTATGTGAAGGCGAATGAGCATATGGTCAAAGAGTTCTATAGCAACGTGGCCCATATCTTGAAGGGCACTAAGGTGACCAAAGTGAGAAACAAAAATGTGGTATTCACCGGGAAGGCACTGAATGAATACTTGGGGTTCAATGATGAAGATGAGTCCCTTTACAATGAAAATTTAGCAATGGGCGAGGAGGAACGTCCGTGGTTAGCTTCATACCTGGCAATCCCGGGTGCGGTTCCAGAGTGGTTACAAGCAGGGGCCAAAATACTTTGGAAAACTTTCAACTTCGAGGCTAGAGGGTGGTTGACCTTTGTGTGCAGTCGGCTCGACCCAACTACCCATGATCAGACTATTCCACTTGCCCGGGCGGTTCTTATTACTTCTATTAGGGCGGGATATCCTATCAACGTGGGCAATGTGATGTCTCGCGTCATTTCTGCAGTGGGGGTTGAGCATGACCGGAACTACCCTTTTTCCAGCACCCTCACTATGTATTTCCGGGACTGGAGATGGAGAAGAGACCGTTTGACGTCAAGGTCAAACCTGTGGCTCCGTTCTCCTAGTACAGTTTGAAGGGGTCAGACAACCCCAAGGACAAAAATTACAATCCACCTGCCTCTGCCCCAATCGGCCAGTCTGAAGAGTCGGTTGTGATAGAGCCCTCCACTGAGCCTACTTCCACAGTTGCTGACATGCCTCCCAGACCTTCCACTACTATTGGTCCCTCTACTTCAACTGGCCCGAGGATTCCATCTTCCCGGGCCCATCCTATCACCGCCCACCAACTGAGCTAAACACTTCATAGCTTGAACAACTGGATGGCGACTGTTTCATCCAAGTTGTCCACCTTGACTTCTACCATTGCGGCTCAGTCGGTACCACAGCCAGTGCAGGTGCCCCAGCCTATCGAGGATGCACTTAAGGAAATTCTTGCCAACCAACAAAAGATCCTCGATTCTCAGGATGCTTTGGCTAAGGCAGTGGATTCACATGGCAAGGCCCTTAAGGAGCTTGCCAGGGAGCACAAGAAGTTGCGCAAAACACGGGCTTTCAAGGAGTCTGTGAAGGCGTTGAGAGAGGATGTTGACAAGCTAAAGGCAGACCAGATGCCTTTAGACTTGCTATTCGGGGATCCAGCCCCGGCAGCAGCACCAGTGCCACAGCCACAGCAGGAGCAGGAGCAGGCACTCAGGCCTCCAAGGAAGAAGAGGAAGCTCCCCAGTTCAGTTGGTGCAGTTATTGAGCTAGCAGACCCACAGGAGACCCCCTCCAGCGATGCACCTATCATCCAGCCGATCCAAGAGCAGGCCCCAGTCCCAGCAGCTGAGCAGCTAGAGATCGGGAACCAGTATGAGGTTTCCGTACATACAGAGGACTTGGGGACCACTGATGATCCCATGCAGACGAACCAGGCCTAGGGAGCTCCTATATCCTTTACTTTGTTTTTGATAATTATTTGTTAGTTGGTATTGAGGACAATGCTAGCTTTTATTCGTGGGGGTGCGCCCTACTTTTATCTGGATGACTGTATATATAGATTCTTAGTCTATGTTTTTGTTGATTTTCTATTTTGGGCTGTATATAACTTTACATTTAGCTACTTTTATCGTACTTTCTACTTTTTATTCTCTCTTTTGGTCTGTATATAAAGTTACATTTCTGTATATATTCATACCCTGTTATATATTCTACTTCCCTATTGTACATATTCATTCTATTTTTCTATTTTTACAAAAATTTCATTTTTAGCTTTGTAGTTAGGCTCGTAGCCTCTTGTTTTGTTTTTGACTCTTCCAATAAGCCCTTGATTTTCTTAATGCCACGGTTCTTTCCAAGGGGGGAGTATTGTGCGAACCGGGTGGCTCTTCCCAATGATAGATGGCGTGACAACTTTCTTAAGGGTTTGAGTCCGTTCTTAGATTTTTCTTTTGTTTTTGATAGTTGAAGTTAAGGGTACCTCAAGCAAAGCTTCACTTGGGCCTAGCACATTTGCCTTTGATCCCATGGTCAAAGACATAATGTTGTGTTCAGGATGGTGAAAGTCGTGGCTTTGAGACTCTTGCGTTGACCAAACAATCATCATGTGGTCTTTTCGGACCATTGTGTGTTTGAATCGTAACTAAGGTCGTTGTGGGCCTTTGACTCGATATCTTTAGCAATCCCCTAGCGTGTGTGGTGAGGAATCGAAATGTGAGTCCAAGTCCCAAGCCAATGGTCTAGAACTTGCCCTGAATGTTTGTTGAGGCGAAATCCTAGGTGAAATTTGACTTGAGGAGTGATTATAGGCTCTCCTTGATCCAAATGTTAAGTTGAACAATTCCATAACCTACCAATGAGATGATCCCTAGTTAACCCTTTTGAGCCTTAAACCT